GGTCGTTGAGGCCACCTGCCTGCCCCCCTCTCTCCCCTCCGCCGGGGGTTCCAACCCCAACCGCGAGTGTGCGCGCATCTGCGCCCGCTGGGCCTGGGAACCCGCGGCGCCCGCGGCCTCCAGGCGCCCTGGGGTGGTGGGGGGCGGGTTAGGGAGGGCCGCGGGGAGGGGCGACGCGCCCTTCTGGTTTTCGGGGCTCCCTCCGGGAGGTCAAGAGAGTGCCATCCACACGTCAAATAACCATGCACTGGCACGGGGTGGGCTGGCAGAGGAAAAGGGCGTCGGGGTGGAGTCGTGGGAAATGAAAGCCCTTGAAGACAGGAATCCGCTGGTCACGAAGGAGGCTCTGAGACCCCCAGGGCGGGAAGGGCGCTTCTGCAAACGGACCTGGGGTAATTAATTGGCTCTTTGGGGGAAAGAATAAAGAGACTCATCTTCTACCGCACATTGACATTCGTTTCGGATGGAGTCACACGTGCGTGCGAGGGTGGGGAATTCAAAGCACACCGGAAAAACGAGGAGTGGACAGAAATGAGGTTTCTGTTCTCCAGAGGGGCGGGCTTCCTGGGGCTGAAAAAGGGCCCGTTCCCGGGCAAGATGGTATGTTGGTTCATACAAAACAAGAACCCTTGCGTTTGAAAAAGGAAAGAGTGAAAGGAAAGGTAGTCCGTGGATTGGGGAAAGGGCTCCAGCAATTGTAGTCTCCCAGAGGTCGGTATTTTTGACGATGTGAAAGGTCTTATAAAATCAATCAAACCCTGAAGAGAGCAGAGGAGCCCTGATGGCATCGTGGGCTAAGCATGGAATTACTAACCACAAATCCTGAGGTTCGAACCCACCAGCAGCTCCAAGGGAAACGGAGGAGGCCTTCTGTTCTCATAAAGAGAAGTCTCAGAAACCCGAAAGGGCAGTTTGCCTGTGGTCCTCGACTCCTGAATTGACGCCAGGGCACCAGCTGTAGAAGAGGGGATAACTAAATGAGACCGGATCACAGTCAGGGAAATGAAATACCATTTTGACCTGGTCAAGTGGAAAAGTTTTTGAAAAAAATAAAAAAGAAATGCCCATGCTAATGGAGAATGAATGGCCCTATCAACCATCGTAGTCGAACATAAATTAAGACACATAAATTAAGACAGCAGATGTCTATCCGGAGTCTTACACACACAGATCTTTCAGCCAGTATCTTTTAAAAATTAAACGTAAATTTGGAAAATCTTTGTGCACAAAGATATTTATGACCCCAAATTGGAAAACCCAATGTCTAACAAGGAATAGCTAAATGATTTTCCCGATACTTTCATAGCTTTATTAGTTATCAAGCTTAGAATAACTTTTTTTAAATTATTGTGTTTAAGGTGTAAATTTGCACAGCAAACTAAGCTCCTACTTAACAATTTCTACACAATTTTTAAAGTGATATTGGTTTAAAAAAGTGGTATTGGTTATTTTTGTAGTTTTATTTCTATTTATTTATAATTGAGAAGTGGGTGAAGGTTGACTGAGCAGATCAGTTTTCCATTCACCATGTCATAAAGTAAGTAAAAAGTGTATATATAAGTATAGATATGTATATATGTATATATATATACATATACATACATATATATACATATTTACATATATACACATAGGTGTATTTGTTGATATATGTATGCATATATTTATACATATAAATACAAAGGAAGCAGATGTACTTTGGGCCTCTACTTAAATCTTGCCTTAGTACAAGTACGTTTGTTCTAACAGTGTGGCATTATATGATACTCCCCTTTCTAACATGATCCCGGAAGACAAAATGGGTGCATAAGCAAATGCGGTGAAGAAAGCTGATAGTGCCCGACTATCAAAAGATATAGAATCTGGGACTTAAAGGCTTATAGTTAAACAAGCAGCCATCTAGCAGGAAAGCAACAAAGCCCTCATAGAAGAAGCACACCAGCCTGTGTGATCATGAGGTGTTGAAGGGAAGAGGTATGAGAACTCCAAAAACACCAGTCAAATTGATGTGAAGGGGAGTGGATGTAGAGGAGACCCAAAACCCACCATAAAATAAATGGGTAGTACCTGTCGGAGGGGCCACATGGAAGGGATGATAAATCCAGGTTGTGGTATGACCCTAAGGAACTACATAACTATCCTCTAGTTCTTTAATACGTCCTCCCCTTATTACTATGGTTTAAATTTGTTTTACTTCATTAACTGAGTTAGATTTGCATATGTTCACTTGTATATTAAGATTATGTTGTACATGAAAGCCAACCCTTCAGAAATAGTTTCAGAAGTAATGGTTCCCTGAGGGTATGGGAAGGGAGAGGGAAATGGGGAGCTGATAGCAATGATAATTGTTACCTCACTCGATGGGATTGAACAGCAAAATTGAATGTGAATAGATATATTAGATTTACTGGATTGTGTTAAGTATGTTAATAAAACCACATATAAAAAATAATAATAAATTGGCAGAAATAGCCATTAGCTTCCTTCCAGAAATATTTATACATTTCTCATACCAATTTGAGCATATATTGTCTATGCAGGGTTGTATACCGTTTGCTTAAACCTCCTGTTGGATGTAACTAAATGAGAGAACATTTGCTGACTCATTATGTATAAAAAGCAGCATTAAGCCTGCTTCATGGGTCATTTTGCTTCACACTCACAGTATTCCTTTGAGAAATTACTATTCCCATTTCACAGATGTGATGGAGGACTGGGGAAGAAAAGGTGTTCCTGAGAGTCACACTTCAGCTGAGGGATAGGATCAGGCCTGGAATCACAGGCTCTGCGCTTAACCACACTCTATTCTGCACCCAGGGTCATTAAACAGTCCTTGAAAACATGATTTTAAAGACTGTGGACTCATAGAAGAAGCCCCAGCAGCCTAACGGGTGATGCATAGGGCTATTAAACACAGGTCAGCAGCTCCAATCCACCAGCTGCCCCATGGGAGAAAGATGAGGCTTTCTACTCCTGTTAACAATCTCTGAAACCCACAGGGCCACTTCTACCCTGTCCTGTAGGGGCACCATGAGTCAGCATCAACTGGATGGCAGTGAGTTTTGTTTTTTTCATTGAATAATATACAGTAATATACTTTAAAGTGCGCCAAACCTTAATTCAGTCCCCTAAAGCTAGGCAAGGAGCCCTGGTGGCAGAGTGGGTTAAACATCAAGCTGCTAACCTCAAGGTGAGCAGTTCAAAACCACCAGTGGCTCTGAGGATTAAAGAAGAGGCTTTCTACTCCCATAAAGATCTGCGATTTCAGAAACCCACACGGGGCAGTCCTACTTCACAGCAGTGAATTTGGCTTTATTTTTTGAGTACTAAGCATGTATACTGTTTGCACTTTATTGCTTTTAAAAATTAATACTTCAAAGAGCATCTTGGTCCCTTGTCTTTTAATGATTGAATCTCTTATTGTTTTATGCCTAGAAGATATTTCAGGTCCTAGCAGTTGGGGCAGTGGGCAGAGTGGTGCTTCAAGGTCCCCAGGCATCTGGCGGCCTCCCCACAACCAAGATGCTCAAAAGGAAGGTCAGCTGGGGGCCGGCTGACTGGGCGGTGCAGTAGAACCCAAAGCGGAGTTGTCAGTTCAACCTGCGTCTGCAAAAGTGGAGACAGCAGAAAAGGGTAAATCTTCAGACCAAAAAGTGCCAGCCAGAGGGAAAAGGGAGCCAAAGGAGAGAAACCAACCAAAGCTCACCGGCCGGAAATGGAGACACCAAAAAACGAAGAACGTCCAGCCTCTGAGGAAGCAGGAGAAGAAGCCAAGTCTGCTGAATGTTCATCTACCGAGTCTCCATATCAGTTGGCTCTGTTATCTCCCTTCTTGCCCAACCCAGAGGAATGTGCATGCATTTGGTGAATGCAAGTTCTTCGGTAGCTCTGGGGACATTGTAAGGGGAGTCAACCCCACTCCATCCCCGTGTTTTTAAGTGGGAATGCTTTTTGGTAGATGTGAAACCACTTACTGGTTGTTTATTTTTTGGTACAAGCAGAAAAGAATGGGATGTTGAATTGTGAGAAGATTAGACCGTCTTGGGTGTCAACACAACATTCCGTGGGATGGGGGGAAGTTGTTGTGTCCCTCCTACAAAACATAGCTTAATGGCAGTTTGCAGTCACTGTCATGCATTTGTATCAGTTGAACATTTCAAATGTTTCCATGCTTTGTTTTGTTTTGAACAGCATTGTGTCTGAAAACCCGTCTTTCTGGTTTCTTGTCTGCGCTGTGTGCATTCTCTAACACCTTCGCTGTGGAAGTCCGTTCTGCGGATCACTTTGCTACGTGCTGTGAAGGGTTGAACAGCTGAATGTGTAGGGTGTGTGACATTAACGTGTGAATTAGCGGGACTTCAAATATAACCGCTGATCAACAATGGAAGATATTGATACTTGGTTACCTCTTTAAAAAAATATTGTCTCCAAATTGAAAGCTGTAAAGTCACTGGAATTTAGAAGCAAATTGTATCTACGTGCCATTGTAGGATTTTGGTGCACGCCTTTAAGAATTGTGTACAAATTGCTCATAATGTTTGTGGACTCATCCCCCAAATAACCAATATAATGGCGGTTACAAAAGAAAAATAATAATAGTAAGAAGAAAATAGTTCAGGGTCAAAATGAGAGCTAGAGCTGAATTTTTTTTTTTCTTAAGAGCTGAATTTTAATGGCATCACTGAAAAGGCCTTTTGTACAATCTTTATTTTCAAACCGAACTTGGTTTCTGCAAGGGCCAGCATGGGAAAGAGCCTTTCAGACTACGAAGTCCTCTTCAGAAGGCAGGGATGTGGGCATTTGGCTTCTAGTGTGGGAGAGAGAGCTCTCTCATGAGAGAGGACTGGGTGTGGGGGTAGGGTGCAGAGGGAGGGGCCCCTCACTTGGTGGCAGAGCAGCTGAGGTGCAGCTGGGACCGGGGCCTGGAAGGCAGTCTTGTGGGCGCCTCCTGCCCCAGCCCACACCTTGGGTCTGCAGCTGGGTCCTGCCTCCTCTAGGCCATGGCCGAGCCGTGGCTGGTGCTTCTCCTGCTCCTCGGGTATCTAGCTCTGCTCACAGGTGAGCTCCCTTGGACCCCTTTTGGTCTCCCAGTAGATTGCCCAAGCCCACCCCCTCATTCTGAGCCTGCTTGGGTGTGGGTGGGATGCAAGGAGGCAGGACAGGCATTTGGGGCCCTTGAAGATCCCCACAAAAAACCATGATCCTTTCCCCATTGTGCCCCACCTCCCAACTGGGGTCCCCGTGCCATGTCCCCCCCACCCCCACCCCCCGAGCTCACAGCATTGATAGGAAAAGCAGTCTCCAATTAGGGGGACAGAGCACTAAGAGCAAGGTGGCTAGGGGTCCATGGGGGCTGGGTCCTAGGGTAGCCAGCACTGTGGTGTGCCCTATGGGCTGCTGAGACAGGCTGAAGCCCTGCCCTGTCTGACATCAAGGCACCCTATTCTGAGGGGGCTCCAGGTGGCTTGTGTTCACTCCCCTCGGTCCCTGGGTGCTTGTTCACTGCCAGAGATATTTACCCTAATGTCTGAAAATCAAACCAAGAGTCAAAGAGCGAACATTTTGAAAACGAAGGTCTTGGACCTGTGGGTCAGGGGGTCTCCTTGATCTAAAGGTGGGCCCCAGCAGGTCACAGGCTCTCTTTCCATGGGGAAGTAAACCACACTCACCTGGAGCCGGGAGAGGTCATGTGAGCTCTGGGAGGAGGAACAATGCCAGGGGGCTCCCTGGGGGAGGTGGGCGTGAGGCTCAGTGTGAAGAACATCTCCATTGCAGTCATTAATTTCTCAGGAGTTGAGGAGCCCGATGCTCAGTCCCAGCCTTCTCTGTAATTCTTTTGTTTGCGATGCCTCGCTAGCATTATCCTGGATTGTACTGACGTCAGCGCGTCTTCATCAGGGCATTTTACATTCGTGATCTCCCCACAATCTATGGAGCTGATGTGCCGGTCCCCATTATGTCGATAGGACAATGGAGACTCAGTAAATTAAGTGGAGGAGTCAGGAGTCAAGTCAACTCTGTCTAAGGCCATGCCCCTGGCGTGCTCCCCTGTGTCACGGGGAAACCTGTTAGCATGGTCCACGTGAATGAGCACGGAAGTTGGAGTCACCTGGACCTGGGTTCAAGTCCAGCCTGGGACACTTACCAGCCATGTGCTCCTTGGCCAGTTGTTTGACGTCCCAGAAATCTTTCCTGAGCCACACACCCCACCTTACTCCCCACTAGAGTCTTGGGCATCGCCTCTCCAATGTGAGAGTACTGCTTTAGCCTGGATGCACTTAATTGTGGTGGGAGTCAGTTTGCAGATTTTAAGGTTTGAGATTTCCTGGATAGAGGAAACTATCCAAATATTCAAGAATAATATTTTGTCACCTTTACAGAAAAGAGTACGATGATGGGGAAACTCAGGGCTCTTCTAGAAAATATACAACAAAGGCTTCCAGTATCCATATAATTTTTAACAGTTATTTTAAATATTTTATATTTTTATAAAAAAATTGTAATTATGAAAAAAAAAAAATTGTAATTATGAAAGGAAAAAAGAACGATAGTAAGGACATGAAAATAATACCACAAACACACATACGTCCTCCACATGCTAACATTTTGCTGTATTTTAATCAAGCTTTTTTTTTTTTTAAGCTATGAGCACCTTTGAAACTTCCTTTGATCTCATTCCAGATCCTATTTCCTTCCCTGTATTCCCAGAGGTAATCACTCTCCCGAGAACAGCAGAGCCTGGAATTATAATGATTTGTTTGTGAACTTACCTTTCCCGTGGGACCGAGGCCCTTGAGGGCAGACAGTGCCCTCAGAGACAGGATAGAGGGATCAGTAGATGGGACTAGAGATGGAAGCTAAGAGGGTGAATGGAAGAGAGAAGGGCGGCTAGACAGAAGGAAGGATGGTTCGATGGGAGAGAAGGCTGTGTGCGTGGTAGGATCGATGGATGGATGGCGGAAGAATAGATGGGAAGATAGAGACCCAGATGCCAGCCTTCAGTGAGTACTGATCTGTGGGGCAGACATCGATTGATCTACCCCCTATATGTGTGTGCTTTGTTGCAGGTGTGGGGGCTACACCTTTCCCCTCTTTGGCCCCACCGATCACACTACTGGTGGACGGGAAGCAACAGACACTGGTGGTCTGCCTGGTCTTTGATGTCTTACCCCCTGGCCTCGACAGCCCCATCTGGTTCTCAGCCGGCAATGGCAGTGCCCTGGATGCTTTTACCTACGGCCCTTCCCCAGCAGCAGATGGCAGCTGGACTAACCTGGCCCAGCTCTCCCTGCCCTCTGAGGAGCTGGTGGCCTGGGAGCCGTTGGTCTGCCACACGGGGTCTGGGATGGAGGGCAGCAGCCGGAGCACGCAGCCCCTACAGCTGACAGGTGAGGCTGGAGCTTGGGGCCCTGCCAAAACTCTGTCCTCATTCACACATGCTGGGGATACTCTGGAGCTCGGCTGTGGTGGGAAGGGCAGGCTTCAAGCCCAGGAACATCAGGGGTTCAAGAGCACACCATCCAGGTGAGCTCAGAGCAGAGTGGCCACAGGGCCTGGGAATTACAACCATACTATCTGGCTTCTCTTGTATGACGTCTTCCTCCCCTAGGGCTGATGCATGATGATATAGATATACATATCCACTTAAGGAGTGCTGGTGGTGTAGTGTTGGGCTGTTAACCACAAGGTGAGCAGTTCAAAATCATCAACCATACTTTAGAGCAGCGGTTCTCAATCTGTGGGTCGCGACCCCTTTGAGGGTCAAACGACCCTTTCATAGGGGTCGCCCGATTCATAACAGTAGCAAAATGACAGTGATGAAGTAGCAACAAAAATAATTTTATGGTTCGGGGGTCACCACAACATGAGGAACTGTATTAAAGGGTCTCGGCATTAGGAAGGTTGAGAATTACTGCCTTAGAATGAGAAAGAAGAGGCTTTCTATTTGTGTTAGTCCAGGTTCACTAGAAAAACAAATCCAGAGACACTCATATGTGTGTAAGAAAGGACTTTATATCAAAGAGCGATTGTACAATAAGAAAACATCCCAGCCCAGTCCAGATCAAGTCCATAAGTCCGATATTACCCTATGTGTCCAAACTAGTCCATAAATTCCTCTTCAGACTCATGCAACACATACAATGATGCAGAATGCATGAAGATCACAGGCCAATGGGTAGAAAGTCTTGTAGATCCAGTGGTGGTGGAAGCATCTCAGCACTGACATGGGTCTCCAAGTGGCTCCTCCAACTTCAGGGCTCTGGTTCTATCAGCATAGCTTCATGTGGCCTGTCAACATGAATGTCTCCCAAAGAGAGTGTCTGTGTTCCACCTCCGGTATGCTATTTAACTCCATTGCATCTCCAAATGAGGTCATCACACTATGACCTGATTGACAGGCTAAACTCCACCCCTTCACTCTTAATAGTCTCAAGTTAGCACCAGATTATGTAACTACCACAACCCAGTCGAAGTCAACGGGACAAGAGTGAATTTGATGTCAGACGGTGGCAGTGGAGGCCCTGTGGTAGAATCCTCGCCCTCTCAGCTGGAGACCCAAACAACCACCACCAGTCAGTGGATGCACGTGTGGTGCTCTGATGCTGGATAGGTTTCAGAGAGTCTTCCAAACTAAGACTAGGAAGAAAGGCCAGGCAATTTACTTTCAAAACCCAACCAATGAAAACCCCATGGAGGGCAACCGTCCAATCCTGTTGTCCACGGGGCTGCGGTAATTCAGGGTCTGACTCTATAGCCACCAACAGCACCTATATACCTTAAAAGATCAACTAATAATGTAAGCAATACATGGATCTCAGCTAGTGAGTGTGTGCTCTATGCCAAGCACTGTTCTAAACACTCTTCTTGGTGTTCACACTCACGCACGGCCCTTGAGGCGATGCCCACTCACAGTGACCCCACAGAGCACGGTAACACCGCCCCTGTGAGTTTCCCAGACTGTAACTCTTTAGGGCAGCGATTCTCAACCTCTGGGTCACCACCCCTTTGGGGGTCCAATGACCCTTTCACAGGGGTCACTTAAGACCATCGGAAAACACGTATTTCAGATGGTCTTAGGAACCGAGACACTGTCTCCAGGCAGTCTGCCCACATGCAGATACGCCCATATACAAGTACCCGGCGTGAAGACTGTTACCCCTGCTACATCATGCTTCAAGACAACATTCATTTATTTGTCATTAGAAATAAATATTCTCAACACCAACAACTTTTCATAACCTGTAAGCAACTTATTGACAGCAATGATAATAATCAGCTAGGTAATCCTACCATTAACCAACGTGATCGCCCCTTCACCTTTGGATGTTTTTATGCATTTATTTCTTGTCTTTCCTTTTGTATATGCATTTAATAAATCTATTATACCTAATAGATGTATATATTAAAATATACAAATCTACAGATGTTTGTTCCATTATGAACATTACATCCTTTCGTTAAAACTTATTCCAAAATAACATTTACTTTGGCTGAAACGCTGGTCTTCATGAAAGCATGCCATCATTTTATTTAGTAATTTCCCTATTGCTTGATAGTTATGTTGCTGCCAACATGTTCTGTTATGAATACAGATATAGCAATATACTTGGGCCAAAAAAAAAGAAAGAAATATTTCACGATATAGAATGACATTGTTTTTGTGATTAGTCACTATGCTTTAATGATGTTCAATTTGTAACCATGAAAATACATCCTGCCTATCAGATATTTACATGATGATTCATAACAGTAACAAATGACAGTGATGAAGTAGCAACGAAAATAATGTTATGGTTGGGGGTCACCACCCCATGAGGAGCTGTACGAAAGGGTCGTGACATGAGGAAAGTGGAGAACCAGTGTTGGAGGGGAGTAGAAAGGCCCATCTTTCATTGGCCAGATGGGTTCCATTATTTCCCCATTCTCAGCGAGGAAACTGAGGCACAGGAGGGCTAAGTCACATGTCCAGCGTCAGCTATTATCACGACTGACTTCTTTCTGAGGATTTCCTCCATATTTTCACTTATCAAATAGGAATGCTTGTTAAGTAATGCCCTGTGCCTTGTCCGAAGTGACTGAGGCACCTCATTCCCACCAGGGCACAGAACAGGGGTGGGGAGGACCTGGGGAGGAGGGTGGGAGTTCCGGGTCTTTCTGAAGAATCGCAGCCCACAAACTCAGGGCACTTGCTACTGGCTCCTGTATCCATTTGTCTGACAAGACCGGCTCTGTGCCAGGGCCTGGGCATAGCCCTGGGAAGCAGAGCTCCATGGGCAGAGCCATGCCCAGGAACCCACTCCCTTCTCTTGGCTGGCAGGAGAGGCTTCCTCAGCCAAGACCTGCCTCGGGGAACCTCTCAGAGGTGAGTGCTGGGGTGGGAATGGGCTAAGGAGCTGGGGATCAGGGCCCTGGGTCCTCCAGGGCGGAGTGATTGCTGGGTGGGGGCACTGACTGACCTGGGTCTATGGGTAAGAGGGCGGGTGGGGCTGCAACCCCACAAGGTCAGCAGTTTGAAGCCTGCAGTCACTCACTCCCCGGCAGACAGACAGGGCTTTCGCCTCCGGTGGGCGAGAGTTTTAGTCCCTGAAATTCACAGGGGCAGTACTACCCCGTCCAACAGGGTCGCTAGGTGAGGGCGTGGGCGCCATGGCAGTTTGCAGAAGTTGGATACCCGGAAGAGCTCTCCCGGGTGGCGGGCGGCACGGGGCCGGGGTGGGGTCGGGTGGGGTGGGAGCAAGGACAGAGCCCCGCCCCCGGGCTCCCACCCCGCGTCTTCTCCCGCAGGGACGCCAGGCCTGGCTCTGCGGCTGGAGGCGCTGCGGCTGCTGCTTTTCAAACTGCTGCTGCTGGACGTGCTCCTGACCTGCAGCTGGCGCCGCGCACCGCCCGCAGGGCTGCCCCGCCCGGGGGCCTCGGGGCTCCCCGCGCTCGCGATGGCTCGGCGGCGGCAGGCTCCCGTCTGAGCGCCCTCAGCCCTCCAAGACTGGACTTGGCCGTAGTGATGGAGGGGACGCCAGGCGGCAGAGAGCTCTCCCTGCAGCCTACCGGATCACACCCTCCCCGTGCCGGCTCAGAGACCGTCAAGGCGGGGCTTGGGGCTCAGCACCCATTTCCGCACTCAGGTCTCCCAGGCTCCTGCTACAGACTGGAGCTTCCCCTGCCAGACGGGCCACCCCCTTCAGAGTGGGGACCCCCCCCCCTTGGCAGTTGGACATAGGAAGTGAAGATCAAGTGAGAACAAGGAAATTAAAGGAGAATTTCCAGAGCAAAAGAAGAGTGTTTTTATTTGCATCTGCCCTGGGAGGAGGTCAAGGTGCTTGAGGGCTACCTGGAAGGGGGCAGCTCTAGCTGCAGGGACCATGGAAGAAAGGTCTGGCGATCTACTTCCAAACCCTATGGAGTAGGGTTCCATTCTAAGTCACCACACAATCCACTGGACGGCGACTGGTCTTGGCAGAGGAGGCAGAAATCTGGGAAGGCTTCCTTGAAGAAGGGGGCTTCCTGAGGGTGAGAGCCTGGAATTGCAGAGTAGGGCTGGAGCCCAGGGAGGAAGCCTTTTCATCTGTTCCCTTCCAGCATAGCCGGGTATTCATCTCTGTCTCCTCGCCTTACCAAAGTTCCGTGAGAGGAGGGCAGGGAGCCCAGGCCCCTAGAGAAGGGGAGCCTGTCTCCGTTCAGCATGATGTTACCTGTTGGCCCAACGTGAAGTTCCTACACAGCCTTGACTGTGATGGACAGGACCAGAATCCCCAGGTAAGAGCATGGATGGAATTCCAAACGTACACGTTATTGATTACAGAAGAGTCATTTGGAAACCTTATGCAGCAGTTCGACTCTGTCCCATAGAGTCAGTGTGAGTCAAAATTCACTTGGCAGATTTGGGTCTGTCTTGTAGTCAATCAACAAATAGTCGCTGCATCTTGACCCTGAACTAGACCGAAAGGGGCTTTCCCCCACTGCAGAGGGCTCTTGCACTGATAGAAGAAGCTGAATACTGTGGGCCTGGTGTTCAATCTCCAAAAGCAAGCCTGGTTTCTGGAGGGTCCCTCCACTATAAAGACCCCCATAGACCCCAGCATGTGACCTTAGAAGTCTACTGGCCAGTGGCCCTACCTCTTCCCTCCAGTCCACTCTGCACTGTGGGGTGAGGACTGTTCTGGTTTCCTGGGGCTGCTGTAGGGAAACACAAACATACCATGGAGACATTGAGGGTTCTCTCCAGGCCTCCGTGAGCCCGGCCTGTTAAGACAAATGGTGCCAGTGGACTTGCTTGATGCAGGCTTGCTACAAACCTGCCCTATGAGAAATGCAATACAATGGGGGTATGGCTGGCTATACCCCCACGGACTGGATAGCTTACCACAACAGAAATTGGGTCCCCCCATTCTGGAGGCTAGCAGGCTGAATTCGGGGTGTTTGAACGTCTCCAGGAGAGCCTCTCTTATCTCTTCCAGTGTCTGACACTTATTCCCAGGAGTCATGGTTGGGGGCAGCAGCATGGCTCTAACCCCTGATTCCGTCTTGACATGGCTGCCTCATGTCTGTCTGCAGCTCTTCTCTTTGAAGCCAGTCATTTAGGACTAGCCCCCCCTCGAGTATGACCCCCCCACCAGATCACTTAATTACATCTGCAACAATGCTATTTTCAAATAAGAACATAGTCACAGGTACGGGGGTGAGAATTTGAATATATCTTTTGGGAGGACACAAACTAACCCATAAAAGGGATCGTGTTCTAGAATCCCCCCACACTCTTAGTCCACGTCATTGACAGCCCAGCTCCCTTGTTTCTGGACCCTCTCAGTTGCAGTGCCATGAAAACCCCACTGTCTTCCCCACTGCCCCTCTCTCACTAGCCTGTAAGGAGCGTCTCCCTTTCTGATTACCCACGGCGATAGGTCTTTTGTTCTCTGGACTGCAGCTGCCATGAGTATTGATGGTGGATCCAAGTCAGACAACATCCTTGACAACTTCAACCTTGTCTCCATTCAGCATGATGTGACCTGTGGGTCCAGTTGTGAGCATTTTGGTCTTCTTTACAGGGAGCTGTAATCCATCCTGAAGGCTATGTTCCTTGATCTTCATCCGCAAGTGCTTCAAGATCTCCTCACTTTCAGCGAGCAAGATTGTGTCATCTGCTTATCACAGCTTGTTAATAAGCCTTCCTCTGATCCCAATGCCACATTCTTCATGTAATTCTGCATCCTTGATGATTTCCTCTGCATACAGATGGAACAACTACAGTGAGAGGCTACCACCCCGACGCACCCCTTTCCTGATGTTGAACCATGCACATTCCCTTGTTCTGTTTGCACAGCTGCCTCTTGGTCCATGTCCAAGTTCCGAATGAGCGCAATGAAGGGTTCTGGCATTGCCATCCTTCTCAAGATTATCCACAGTTTGTTTCCTTGCCCCCAAACCAGTCATGGAAAAGGCATTACAGGGCCATCGAGAGAAAGGAAGTTATGACACACGCGGAAACATGGATGAGCCTTGAAAACACAGTGCTGAAAACATGGGGGCAAAGACTGTAAGGTTCGACTCAAATGAAATAGGCAAATGCCTAGAGGCCAAAGCTGCTTCCTGCTTCCCTGAGGTGGAGCTGGCCAGGGAGAGTCAGTGCCTGGTTTCTGTCAAGCACTGGTGAAAGCATCGTAGTCATGGCACCACACACGATGAGCACAATCAATGACACGGAATGACCCACGTGGAAATGGCTGGCTTGGCAAATGACTTGTTCCAAATGTTTTTATCACAATGAAAACAACCAAAAACATAACCACCCCATGGAGCCCAGCTCTACTCTGGTCCATGTGGGCTCCCTTGAATTGGCTTTGTCTCCTTGGCCACTGATTAGGAAGGACACACAGGCCCTGGAGACGAGGGTTGTGTGAATAAGACTGCTATTTTCATACACCTTCCCTTGGTTTGCCCATAAAACCCCTGAATGTAGTGGCAGCCTGGACCAGCCCCAAAGACCCAAAGAGGCCTCCTCTTCCCCCATCTGCTCCTACCAAAGCAACATTGAATCAGAATACAGTAGACCATCACTTAGCCTTGCCAGTTACCAATACAGTGATTGGTCGTAAAACGTTGGTCTTGGTGGCTGTCATTTGGTTCAAAAAACGGACTCAAAGGCAACAACTTAAAATTACCCTCCTCCTCATCTGAGTCATTCACCCAGTTAGCTTTCGCCCACTGCCCTTAAGGCTCCCAACTAATCTTTCAGGTTGCTGTTGCCAGCTGGACCCAATAGAGACAGATCTTGACCGAGCCAGGTGCTGAAGGCAGGCATTCTTGACTCGTGAAGGGCAACTATTGTTTGGTGTTAAGACTTCAGGGAATAGTTTCAGTTTAAGGTTCAAAGATGATCTCAGCAGTAGAGAGGCCTTGAGGTGCACAATTAACACCCATGAAGATTGTGCTCCACCGTGTGATCGACCAGACAGACCAGGCCAAAGAGGCGGCATTTGCCTGCCCCCAAAACAAAATCCAGAGGGTAGAAAGGGGCAGCAAAGATGAGTGAGTGGAAATAGGAAACCCAGGGAGAGGTGGAAAGAATGCGTTTGAATTGAGAGGAGTACAATGCACGTCGCAAAACAAAATGTGTGTAAATTTTTGAATGGGAAGCTAGTTTGCTCTGTAGGCTTTCATCCTGGCCACAATAAAATGTTCTTTCTTAAAAATTATATATATATAAATTATATATATATATATATATAATTTATATATATATATATAAATTATATATATATAAATTATATATATATATATATAATTTATATATATATAAATTATATATATATATATCAGATTAAGGAAGCAGAAACGAGGGAGGAGAGCTGCCATATTATATAAAGATCACCAAAGAGCCAAAGAATAAAGATCTTCTCTCAGAGCCAACAGAGAAGAAGCCTTGCCATGGAGCTGAGGCCCTAAATTCAGACTTCTGGTCTCCTCACTGTAAGAAAATAGATTTTTGTTTCTTAAAGCCAAAATAAAGATGATCTCAGGGCCATAGTTTTAGGGGTTCATCCTGTTTCCCTGACTCTGGAAATTTTGGATTCCAAGAACGAGTCCTCCTCTTGAATCACCCATCAGATTGGGAACTTATTGAATATCTCCTTGTGTCAGGCATCCCATGATCTCTAGGTAGTTAGAAAGGCAGTACAGTTGCTTATTTGCCAAGTTCCTATCCCGGGTACAAGGACTAAGGAGATATACGTATACATATATGTATATATATATATATGCCTAAAATCGTTATAAACGCTCAGATGCACTTTCCATTCCTTGACCCATTGAGCTTCCCAACAACAGGCAAGCCACAACAAGCATAGGCGGCTATCTTTGACATCATATAAATAGAAATTGAGGCTTGAAAATAGAATTATTTGACTTGGTTCTCACTGGAGCAAATCTCATGTTGCTGGGCAGAGAAAGCTGCTTGAAGACTGCAAACTGCTAATGTTATCCTAGTCTCACCCACCGTGGCTACTACAATGACCACCACCCACATTAAAAAGTTGATCCTCAGGAACAGAATGCAGAAATGAGGGAAGCTCTGCTGCAGACAAATCAAAAGCAATGGCAACAGTGCATCCACAAGGAAGTGCCAGAAATTCAAAACGGATTCCGAAAAGGACCTGAAACAAGGGATAGCATTGTTGATCCCCGTGTGCTTTCCTGTATCTACATCCACAAGATTTTCCACCCACTGGCCTATGATCTTTCTGCATTCGATGTCATTGCCTGGCTGCATGAGTCTAAGAAATAATTCATGGATTAGTAGCAACATATGGGGTAATATCAGACTTATGGACTTGATCTGGACTGGGCTGGGGTGTTTTCTTTTTTTATTAAATACTTTTATTGGTGGCTCTCAGATCTCATCACAATCCATACATTCAGCCACTGTGTCAAGCACATTTGCAAGCATGCTGCCATCATCATTTTCAAAGCGTTTCCTTTCTACTTGAGCCTTTGATATCAGCTCATTTCCAGCCTCCCTCTCCTCCCCTCCCTCCCTCATGAACCCTTGAGAAGTTATAGATTATTCTTTTCATATCTTACATTGTCCGTTGCCCTTCACCCACTTCTCCGTTGTTCGTCCCCCTGGGAGGGGGTTATATGTTGATCTTTGTGATCGATTCCCCCTTTCTCCCCCCACCTTGGGATGCTTTCTTAACGTACCATTGTTCTTTGATATAAAGTTCTCTCTTAACACACACCAGTGTCTATGAATCTCTTTCTCTAGACACCCAGGCTCGCACATATGGGAATTCCAGAAGGCTTCATTGTGCTGGTGCAGAGTCTGCGCAGACACCAAGAGGCCGTCACTCAAACAAACAAGGGGAAACTGCATGTTTTAAAATCAGGAAGGTGTGTGTCAGGGTTGTGTCCTTTCACCACACTTACTCGTTCTGTAGGCCGGGCAAATAATTCAAGAGGCTACCTATATGAAGAACACTGTATCAGAATTCACAGGAAATGCATTAAAAAACCTGTGCTATGCAGGTTACAACCTTGATTACTGAAACTGAGGAGGACTTGAGGCACTCACTGAGGAGGATCAAAGACTACAGCCTTCAGGATGGCTTACACTTCAACATTAAAAAATACTTTAAAAAATCCTCACAAGTAGACCGATAAGCAACATCATGATAGAGAAACAAGTTCAAGTGGTCAAGGGCTTCATTTTACGACGGGTTTTGGAGACATCTGCTGCAAAAGACCTCTACGGGGTTGAAGAGCAAAGATCCGCTGGGGACCCAACCTGTTGTACTTTCAATGGCTTCTTCGGTATGTAAACGCTGCGCGAGCAATGAGAATGACTATGGAATAAATAATGCCTTTGAAATACGGTGTTGGGGAAGAATAGTGACGCTATCGTGAAGTGCAGAAGTGTAGCCAGAATGGTCGTTAGATGTGAGGACAGTCCTTTGAATATGTTATCTGGGAAGACCAGTGTCCCTGGAAGGAGGACATCATGCTTGGAAAATAATAGGGTGTGTGTTTGGGGGGCGAGGGAGCAGGTGGAGGATGGAAGGCCTTCAGCGAGCTGGCACGATACAATGGCCTACACACTGGATGAGGACGCGGCAAGGGGGAGCAATGGTGGTGAGCAGGCAGCAAGACTGGACAGTGGGTCCTGCGACACACAGTAGGAACGGACTCCGTGGCGCCTAAACGAGAAAGGACGTGGCGCGTTACGCCTGCGTCCAGGAGGGAAGTGACGTTCCAGGAGGCGAAGAAGGCCTTCCCCGCATCCCCCGGACCAGCGCGCCGGGCCCTCTCGCACGCAGGTCGGACGGCTGCTCCCTGTCCCAGGCTCGGGTCCTCCGGTCCCTCCCGGTCAGGGTTGGCGGCGCCGGAGCCCCCGGAAGCCGAGGTCACCATCCGCTCTCTGATTGGCCGAGGGCGAATGAGGCTCGGCTTCCCATTCGCCGGATGGCGAACGCTGACAATGCCCATTGGCTCCGTGGTCGGCGGGGCTCCGGCGGCTTTGGGGGCGGGCGAGGGGCTCGCGGTTGCCGTGGTTACGCCGAGGCGCGCGT